CCTTACCTTCTTAAGCTTTCCTTTCCTCTCCTTCTCTTTATTTACTCATCTTTACTCATTTAGTTTCGTTAATGTATTGCTATCTGTTAAAACTGTAAATATCTCTTTGGCATTGGTGGAAGAACAGAAACGGTTTTCAACTGTTATCTGAACCAATAAGTCCAGCCATTTATTCATCAGAATATCATTTAATAGCACCACCACTACTGTATATTCTTCTGTTTTTTTCTTTTATGGGTAATAAATGTATTATTATTATATACATAACTAAAAATGTTGATCGGTAACAATACAATTTTTCTTCATAGAGATTTCAAACAAAAATGTACATAAATATAAAAATAAGAAAGCAGTGTGAAAAGTATATAAATAAAATGAATATAATAAATTTAATACAATAATGTTTTTTTTGCAATTACTTTTCCTCCGTGTTCACTTGCTATGGTAACATAGAAATCCCCATCATAACTAAAATATTGGTTAATGTTAGTCATTTGAAGTCCACTGATAGAGTTCGCAACTTACCAGATATTTTTCTTCCAGACTTGATGATGTTCCAGCAATTTTCATAAAAAAATGTATATACACATGGGCGAATCCAATAACCACCATTTTTGTCATTAAATTCTGGATTTTTTTCCAAATATTGGGGGCAAAGTTTTCTTAAGACAATTTTTTAAGCAGAGAACAAAGAAAATATTGAAAATTATTTGTAATCATTCAGAAATACTAAAACTATTGGATTTCGTGGTAGCCCAACAAATGACATAGGGCTTATAATATCAAAACAGATTTGTTTCATATAGGTCGAGTGTTTCAAACTTGCTTGTTTATGAATAGAGCAATAAGTAATCATTGTATGACCAATGCACATCTCCACAAAATAAAAATTAAAGACCAGGATAGCTGGATTACAGACTAGATTTCTCATTTTTTCCCAAGTGGGGACTGTAGTAGAGACTGGTCTGAACGAATTGTTCTTTTAGATGATTTGATTTATAGCCAGTCTTCAAGTATGCCCACTTAGTGAAATGTGAAATTTATTTCCTTATACGAGGATTTGGGCCATTCGGATATGCGGTTGGTTAGTTAGTACCTCATTTACAAACAGATGGGGCGTTGACAGATAGTTTGCTTGTCGTTCGCATCAGCTTTGTTCGAGATATAATACTCTGAACTCATTTGATTTTTAATTATAGGAAATCATCGACTTCGTGTTGGGCTCAAGTAAAAAATACAGGAAATCTTTTACAGGATATGCATTCAAATTTTCAAAGGGATTTGTTACTGAAGGTCTATTATTAATAGATGTTATGTAAAAAACGCTAAAAGAATTATGGAATTCTATGCATCATTATGATTATTAGGTAGATATTTAATCATGTGAGTGCTTGGTCCTGCTTCTGTGAAGGAAATTCTGAGAAAAGAATTTGGAGAAGTTTTTGATGGAAAATTTGGATTATTCAAATATAGATTCTTCAAAACTGAAACCTGGTGCGATTTCCTTACATCAACGCTACTGCCCTGTTCCCCTCTCAATTAAGGACAGAGTCAAGAAGGAGCTCAATCTCATAGAACAAAGTGAAATATTGACACCAGTATCAGCCTCAGAATGGTATTTTCGAACAGTTCCACTGTTGCGTGAAAATGGTACCATCAGAATTTGCGGAAGTTACGTTACCTCTTATCAATATATGCCAGTCTGAGTGGTGATATCAAATTTTCTAATATATTTGATCTATTTTTTATTTATTCTGCATTTCATTCTAACACTTCTTTCTAGTTTTAACTACAGGATCCACAGTATATAACATGTAAATATTCTACCCGCATAGAAATGAAGTGTAAATAACAAGTGAGAGTGGCTATGTTTTCAGGATGATCTAATCTGGTAATTAAACAAACCTGACCAAGGTTCTGATGGACTAATGTACAAAAACGAGACTGTAGTACCAGGAACATCCATAACAAACATGCTCAGTGCTCAAGCACCACCGTCATGGCATAGTCGAGAATATTTGCAATTTAAAATAATGATGGAAAAAGTGTGAGAGGGGAGAACTGCTATCGGACATGAAGGAACAGTGCAAGTGCTATAACACGAGTTCAGCAAAAGCTCAAAAACAAAACTCAATGGATAACTAAAACAGCACATCACTAGTAGCCTTTTTAGGGCTATTACTTATTAGTACATCATGTAACAAGAAGCCGAAAGTTGTGATGACTAGTTGTACAAATTACCTAATGTAGATCTCATGTTGAACTAAGACCAAAAACTGTAACTGAAGCACTACTACATAACTTAAATACAAGATATGAATTTGGAAATGTAAGAAAATCAGGGTCATGATTTTGAATAGAAAAAATTATGACTTTGATAGAGACAAGACTTGGAACAGTAGCTCTGACAGATTGGTCTGATAGAATAATTGAAAAATGTACCTGGAGCAATAAACAATACCCCTTGATGTTCGTCTTGAACAGGACTGGGCCAATGTAGTATTCTGCTTTTTATTGACATCTCAACACAAGACAACATGTTATACACCATCCTTGCTTTTGACTGGTCTAGAAATGAAAGTTTCCATCAATCTGATGTTTGGCAAACTACTTGATAAAAAAATTGAACAGGCTGCAGCTATATCAAGGTTGGAAAAGTTAGGAAATTAAATTTTTCTCAGTCTTGCTTGATTCTGCCAGTGGACATCAACACCACAAAAAAAATATTCACAAATTACTGATAAATAGAACATTTTTCTTTTTGAAAAATACTTTGAATAAACACATAAACTTATCGGGGTGAACTATAAAATTTACCCTCTCTATACTTGTATCAAATTCTCTATTACAATTCTTCAGATTGTGGAAGGTGAAAATACCCAGCCTTCGTTGAATTATTAATATTACTTGTAGAAACATAACAAAAGAAGATGAAGATTGTCAAAAAAGCAGTTCAAAATTTGAAACACAGTAATTGAAAATATTTTTGATAATCAAAAAACACTGTTCGAACTCAGTGCTATCACTAGAAGGAGTAGCCTGATTGTTCTGATCACCCCTTGGGTTCATATCATCAGCCTGCACAAAGGTATTGTTTTCCTGAGTCTTGATTGAGTATCTCCTATTTCACTTGTCTCACTGTCATTACATATGTTTAGTATTCAGCTGCTGCTTCACCCACCAAGTTTCCCCATTGTGGAAAAAGCATCGTTTTGATCACCATCCATCAGGCAGAATTTTCAAGGATGAATTCGCCTGTAGAAATTCCTCTTTTGATAACGCATACGATAGCTTGTTTAATCTATAACAGAGAAGTAACATGGAGAATGAGCTCTTGAGGTTACTGACCAAATACTTACTTCTCAAAAAATTGAAATGCAGATACATAAGTTGTGGCAGGTAGATGCACTCGAATCAATTAAGCCCTCGTCCTTTTATGTTCTGAAAAAATATCATGAATATTGAAATAGAATCGAAAAAACCATTAATAATTATATAAGTAAATTTTGTATATGTTATATGTAATTGTATATGTAACTGTAATTGTATTATAATGTGATAAAGACCCATTATTATTGTTATAAATCATTTCAATTGATCTTGACTTGGTAAAATTATTATCTCTACAATCTGTAAGATCCAAAACAATCATCAGAAATGTAATACTCTTCTCGACGGGCGTTTCACTAAACAATTTGGCGTCATTATTGTCATTTATAAAGACTTTCAATCTATCCTTTAAAATTATGTAATATATTTATAAGTTGTAATGTTCATGAAATAAGACAAACAATTTTTAGAAGTCAAACCCCTGTTTAAAAATCAAGAGCAAATAACAACTGCAGATCAGTTGCTTTACTGAAATATGAAAACTTATGGAAAAACTCTGGCAATAGTAATTCACCTTATGTTGATTGGAAGATCCTATTCTGAAATTAAATGCCAATGTTTCACTTTTTATTTTATCAGTAACTTACATAAGATTTCTCCTGTTCTTTGTTGCAATCACTTCCGCTTCCATTGTCTTTTCATCATCTTGTCGAGCTTATAAAGTATTTTATTAGATTTCAGATATATTTTTTCTTGTCCATGGTTTTTCTCAATTGTTAGGAGTGAACGATTTGAGTTTTCCAACTCGATTAAAATATCTTTCCACTGAATACTTGAATATTCATTGAATTTTTCCAACCTGTAAAAAAATATATGTTTACATTGGTAATATTGAAAAGTCAATTTTTAGAATTAAAATTCATACTATTGACGAATTGATGATTCTCTCAATCGTATTTAAATTTGGCGTCTTTTACACTGTTTCCGCTTAACAATTGGTCAAAAAAACTTGGTTGAGATATATTGCCGAATCGTTATACCTACATTAAATACCTATACTTTTTCAGCTGTCATCCATTACCATTGTTACAAAATATTGAGCTAGAAGTGTGTTCATGTATTCATTACACGTTAAAAATAATTATTTCTATTTCACGAATTGAAATGCCTGATAAAGAATACATATGTAATACATGCTACATCTGAGCATTGGAATGTTGGTCATAATGAAAATTACCAAAATAATCACTGAATCGTAGATGCAATACAATATCACTACGTTCTACTTATTTGCAATCGTTTCCTTGTAATCGCGCCTGCAGACGCAAAATTGAATGTTGCATGAAAAAAATGTCAATGCGATTTTCAGACGAGTGTAAATAAATAGAAAACGCTCTGATTTTTATTGCATTGCACCTGCCATTTAGTGATATTCATTATGACCAACATTTCACAATTTATTAGATATAAACTATCACGAGACTGAAGTTAGCAGACTAAGAACAGTCAAATCAAACAGAAGTCATTCTAATAAATTTCATGTATACTTTTGATATTTTTTATTTTTTTACATGAATGTTTTGAGATTCGGGAAATTGCACTTATCTCTTCGTTTCCTCCTTGAAGAAGACTTGCTCAATATGTTTGATGGAATTGAATTTTAACATATTTTTTTAAAGATTTTCATCTGTGCACACGACAAGACCGCTGAAGTATTATTTTTTAGAACGTTGCATATTTGTAGTTACAATCTATGATTACTTATATTGATTCGTCAACTTGTACCGACACCTGTCGGATATAATCCAACGTGTGTCAGTGTCAGTCCATTAACCTAAGGTAAGTCGACTCTGGCCTGAACAAATTGCTCTTTTAGTTAAATTGCATCTTTCAGAATATGATCATAAAATAAATTCACAGTATGTCTTCCGACTTGGTATACCCTCAACTTCTTTAGGCTGACATTTTGAGTCCACCGATGCACTCGTGGCTTAACCTATAACCACTGATGAGACCTAAGCCAGGTCGAAACGTCGTTATCTATTGTTGGATCACGATTCACGATCTGGTTACCTTTGAAGAAATATGAACTAGTATTTAAGGAAAATGATTTTGTCCCCTAAATGGATTTATCCTTCCCAATTTATTCGAAGAATTCACCCAAATGAAATATATCATCATCCCATCAGCTCTTTTAAGGCTATGTTCGAAAGAACTGGATACTCTCTCCTAGCCTTTATCCAAAATGGGAAAACAATTCAAAAGTAATAATTGTTTTTAATCTGTTTCCGCGACCCATAGTTTGGGAGCCACTGATCGAGGGGTAGTCGAAGACAATACCTAGCGATAATTTTCCCTTAATTTGTTTCCAGGATCAAACACATTAGTTGCAATTCAGGAAGTTTTTTGAATTGGAAATAACCAGCAAGATCACAGTCAAACGATATGCCACCGCCGGACAGTCATGCATGAACAAATCGTCAACACTTCGAACTCTTTCGAGTCCTCAAGTCTCTTCATTACTTCACCATTTTAAATGTTCAACTTTCAAACGAGCCTCAGATATCAAATTCAGTTGTATTTTTTCCGCTCCTTCTGCTTCCGAGAGAAAAAATATAAATATGAGTTTTCGTTTGAAAACTGACTTCGACCTTCAAATAATTTGCAATGTTATGATGTAGTCAAATCCAAGGTCACCATCGAATGCAGGGTTGGCTGCTCTGGATCTGCTTCTTCATATAACGAAGAATTCAGTTCGATAACTTCTTCTACCGACTCAGAATTAATTTTGAAACATGTGACAAACGTAATATTTTCTTTCAGACTGTATGTTCTCCTTTCACTTCTTTGGGAACTATCTTCTAGTTTCCTATAATTTTATGTCTAGTCCTTGAGGACTGAAAACATTTTGTTCATCAGCTTATCCTCCTCCTTTTATGAACTATTTTTTCAAACACGTTGTCTCCTGAAATTTGCTTGATTTTTATCAGAAAGGCTAAGAATGCAACTGAATGAAAGGACAATTTCTTTTATCAAAATTACGATATTTTCGTATTTTTAGTAAATTTAGGAAGTGCATCAAAAATTCTCTCGAACAAAATCGAAATGGGACAACAGACTGATTATACAGCTAACAAATTGAGCAAAATTTCCTATGGACTAAGGGTGGTTCACAAATATCTCAACAAAGAATCGGTAAAAATTTTATATTTTGCCAATTTCAAGTCTGTAGTTGAATATGGAATCATATTGGTTATTCAGAAAAGAGCAATCAGAGTGGTGAGTAATTTGAAGTATAGTCAAACGTGTACATTTGTCTTCAAGAATAATGGGATAATGACGTTATATGCTCTTTATATTTATGAATGCTTAATGTTTGTATTAAAAAATAGGCATCTGTTCTTTAACAATATTAATCAACATTCCTATGGAACCAGAAGAAATAATTTCGTGCTCCCTATACATAGGTTAACCATAACAGAAAAAACTCCTCAATACGTCAATGAATCTGTACAATAAATTGCCTAATCGAATCAAAGATTTGAGGAGCATAAAGGTATCTACGAAAGAAATATATATTTTTTTAATATATTTNTTTTGGCCAAAAACAACATAATAATCATGCCTCAGCCACAGTATTCTCCAGATTTAGTACCCTGCGACTATTTCTTGTTCCAAAAATTGAAGACACCCATAGGGTTTGGCGTCGATTAAGGAGAATAAAATCGAATCGCTGAGAAAGCTCGAAGACCAACAAATGCATATCAGAACTGCGTCTAGGATTGAAAAAAACGCTGGCACGAGTGTATGATATCTGAGGGGGACTACTTTAAAGGGGACAAAATAGAAATTGATGAAGAAATAAATATTCTTTGAGAAAAATTAAAATTCACCTCATTTTATGAACAGTCTTCGTTGATATGTAACCAGGACTTCAAATACACATAGACTATTACCTATCTCGTTGGAGGTTCGTTTAAAATTCACAGATATATTTGAATATGGGATTTGAGTATTTGAATATGGGATTTGAGTAGTTGAATGTATGGAAGTTGAAACCAGGGTAGGTGTTCATCACTCCCCTGGTGTACACATCTGCGTAATTTATATGCAGTCATCAAGAGCGGCATATTAACGACTGTTTGTAAGTTCATGAAAGAACTGTCATAGAAAACTTAGTATAGACAATCTGTCCTGTTTCTTCACGCAATTTTTCCAGAATTGGTATGGTGTGCATAAACCTTGTCAGCAGGAGGCACACGACTCAGTTGTTTTTAATGAAGTCTGCATTTCTGTGTGAGCGTCAACCCGCTAATACCGGGAGCGCGCTTGTCACAAGCGGCAGCCATCTGCTACTCTACCCTTCAGGTAGGAAATGTAGATGTGTACATAGTATATTTTAATAAAAATATTTTTGATCTTGATATGCAGAACTTTTCAACTACCCATACCGTGTATGCCCGTATTCAGAAAACTTGCAGATACGGCAATGCTCATTAATAGTTGACAATCATATTTCACATTCAATAATTTCAAAATTTTCATCCCACCCCATTAGTATCCTTGATGTTTTGTGTTATCACTGATTAGAGAAAATAACAGTGCTAATTATAGTTATCTAACGATATCCCACTCTTCATATTTATTTTAATTCCATTCACTTCCACTTTCGTTACCCCCTTCCTTCTTGTGACAAATTTGCCCTATGGTGAAATTAACTGATATTATAACCAACAAATAATATTTCGAAATTTACCTTGAAAGTATTTTTTTTTATATAATGTATTCATCCATATTAGACAGTGTACTTATGAGGAAATAAAATCTCGAAATATTCATATCTTTCAACTACCTACAAACACCGTAGGTTCTGGAAAATGCCTGTCGGAAAACAACCACTTCCCCGGCTAATATCACGCTGGATATTGAATTATATCCGACAGAAATTTATGCAAGATACTTCACAGAGGTTAGTGTCGCAGATGTCTCTCGTTCATACAGCAGCAGGACCATGCTGAAACCTTTCGAGTAGATCACCTACAGGCCGATTTCTAGGTATTGCCTCGTTATCAGTGCAGGCAAGATCAGAACCAAACAGAAAAGTTCCTGGGACTCGATTAATTTCAACGCGGCTCGACTGCACGTATGAAACCTTCGTTTAAGATAAATATTGTTAACTAGTAACATCTCCATCTCGTGAACAAAGCCCCAAGTGGGGAAAAACATCCCATGTATCAGTTATCTGACAGAAATCAAAATAAGTTTGAATACTGTATCGAGGAGAGATACATACATATAAGAAAATGAATATTTCGAAATAAAATCTCAAAATATTATTCTCTCCCAATTACCTACACCGTAGGGTCTGGTAAATTGTACTTATAGTCCAAAAATCACAAAAAGTATCATAGACAAGTAATGAAAATATCCAATAAACAAAAAATCAAAAAGTACCTACGTGCCTCTATAGGCTCTCAATTACTGGTTTGAAAATGCTTTGAAGTCTGAATAACAAAACATTATTTAATCTACTTCGAAAACTCCCTCCGGTCTATATTGTTTTCTAATAGTAAAGAGTAATAAACGCAAAACGCTAACAGTGCTCAAACGAAATTTTGTGATTTCGTTCCTCTTGCAGTGGCGTGCGTTTGGGTATTAAGTAAAAAATACTTAAAACTGAGAACTATAATAATTTATTTATATGCAATTAATATTCTTATAACATTTTANAATGGCCTTTTATTATTATCTATGTCTGTAATTTTTAATTTACTTTAATTATTAAGTTTAATAATCCTAAGATTTGCCTACGCCCATGGACGACAACGAAATTCAGGCAAATTTTATGACACTTCATGATTTATTACTCTACACTCTTTTGAAATAGACTATAATAAACAAAAAATGCAAAAGGAAAGTACGCGCCTCTACATGTTGGAGGCGATCAATTAATACATCATAATACAACAAATTACATGGAGTCATAATATATAGTGCTTGAGAGGCGCGCACCTTCCCTCTTAGTTACAGCGAGTGCTGGTATTTAAAGACAAGTTGACTAAGTATTCGTCGGTGGGATGTAAATTTAGAATTTTCGATAACTGGTATAGATAGTTATTGGTTGCTTACGAATTTCTCGAGATATTGTACAGTACCTATACCTTTTTAAATTTTCAACTGTTTTGGTGTCCCTTGAAATTAGATACATTTTTGATACGAAAAAGTAACCAGACCCTACAATTATTGAAAGCTTATTGAGTGATCCCGAACTTGGGTAGCCACTGTACAGTGGCTGTACAGAAAAAAATTATGCAATGAAATGTTATGTGGAGAATGAAAATGCACCATTTTCGAAAATATTTTGAGAAAAATAATGTTATTCCGAAAAATAGATTTTGAGATATTGGTTATTGAAAGAAACCATTTTTGAACATGAATCGCACTATAACTTCTGAACCACTCGGTATAAACCTGTAAAACCCCATATATATGAGAAGAGTTCTATCCAAGAAATTCAATTGCGACAAAATATATAGGGTATTCCATTTGAAAAAATGTAAGTTCGGTCAGCTATACATTCATTGGTCGTCTCGAATACTATTAACTATGTACTTGTGATGCACTATTTGGAACCTTTGGTGTAGTAATAAATATTACCGGAGTTTTTTCTCAACACCAAACCGTTATTTTACACCTCTGAGGTATTAAAATAACGGTTTGGTGTTGGGAAAAACTCCAGTAATATTAAAACTATTAACTATATTTCAATGAGTGAATTTTGTTGCTGTACCGCCTTTGCATTCGAATTGCCATGAAGCGAAGGAGGGTAGTTTGAATTCGTCTCTGTAGATAGCAACAGTTACGATGCCATTACAAGAGACTCAGTAATATGTTACATATATTGTATTGCTCGTTTGTAAGTTGTCCATTAACCCGGAGACGCACTGCAGGATGCTAGATGGTCGCTTGGAGGGTGTATGGTAAAGGTGGATGGTGGAGGGGCAATGCATCCTGGACGCAGTGAAATTAAGCCAGTATCCAACTGACAGCGGAAAAGTAACAATCATGCCTCTCTCTAAAGTTGCGAATTATTTTTTACTAAGTTCATATTTGAGAATTATAGTGGCAAATAGTGTTATAAAAAAACCGTGGGTGCATACTTACAATTTGAGGCGTCAACAGAACGGAGAATTCGTGAGAGTCTACTAAAAAATTACGACAACACCCTGACAAATTTTATTTGTATTTAAGGATGTCAGTTAATACATTCTACCTACTTTTGAAGTTGACTGAATGCAAATTGCAAAGAACTTTAAACGAACTTCAGAGAAGCTATATCAGCAGCATCGTCAAAATTTATGAATTTTTCCTTAATGGGTCTGCTGGCTCCCAAATTGCCCTTCTTTTGTACATAGAACTCATAACGCTTTTCTCCCTAGCTAGGCTACCCGGCTAGAATATCAAACACGACTGATTAGGTTGGATAGACGCCTGGCGTACCTTCGGATTGTTTCTGGAGGTTAGATGGTAGTGGAGGGCCACTGCGGCTACCGTCGTTCTGTTACTCACGTTTATAAATAGCAGGATGTTCGCCAGGCAGCTATCTACCATCCACCATCCTACCAACCTTCCTGCAGTGCGGCTCTAACCTTAGTGATTGGACCCACTGGAAATATTTTCCCGGGGAATCTTGCAGAAACTCAGAATGGTTCTGGCCTGTCTGTTCTGTCGGATTATTGTTATTATCATTGAGTTTCCTAGCTGAAACATCCCTATGACAATGGAAGTGATATTGATTGGATTTCTGTTCCATAAAAAAGTCAAACATTTGACAAGTAAAAAAATGCAGATGTATTACAGTTTGGCAAAACTTGTCAATCAGTTTGAAGAGATTAATTAAATTTATGGAACCGTCAATCAATATAATTCATACTGCTCAGGTAATAGTAATGAATTGAAATAAATATAATGGTATAGACTTCTTCCAGCGTCCCTTACTTACCTTAAATTACTTGACTTGTATTTTTTTCAACATAATTTCCGTTGAAATGCTATTTACAAAAATAGTCATCGTCGGATATAGTGATAAATTAACTCAAGGATAAAACACAAGCACTACAGGAAAATCCTTAAGGTGTTCTAAGAGCGGTGTCCGTGCGAAAGTAACGATTCCCATTGGATTTGATACGCTGGATATGAAATATATTTGGAAAAACGTTCTCAGGAAGTTTATTCCACATAAACGCAGTTTTCCAAGTGAAAGAGTTCTTGAACAATGAAGTTCGAGGTGTACTGAGTTGAACCTAAAAACGATGACCAGCCACAGCCCGCCGCATATTTCTGATATGTACCACTCTTGGTGAAATCAAATGTGCCAACTCACTTGAACACTTTCCGTGAAAGTATCTATAGAAGAGAGACAAATTTCCAAACTTTCTTCGATATTCCAGACTATCAAGGTTCGCGTCTTCGATCAGATGGATGCCTCTTTTTTGGATAGAATCCAGCAGCTTCAGGGTATGTTTAGGGGCGGAGATCCTTACATAAGAACGATACTCCATAGGTCTAATCTAAGCTTCATAAAGTATCGAAAAGTTCTGAGGTGTGTACAGTTCTCTGGTTTGGAACAGTGTTCCAAGACAACTATCTTTTTGAAGAGAATCCATGCTTGCGTTTTTGTGGCATTGAATTGAACCTGGTTACTTTCACCCCAATTCGAAATCACTTCTACTTCCCCATTGAGATATGCAACCTCCTGCTGCCAGAGAAGATGTGCGTCCGCAGACAATGTTCTGGGATCCAAATAAAATGACAAGTGTGCTGTCGCCAGCCAAGCAAATTTTTGAATACTTGTTTTTTTCTAAAAAGTCGTTGGAAGCAATATGGATCCCTGGGAAAATCAATACATCCGACTGAATAACTTCTCAACTTTTAATGTGAATAATATTGGCGATATACATATCAGTGAAAAATCGTGAAAACATAAAATTACTGTAGATTATATCATCGGTCTGAATAATTTAAGATGAAATTCAAGTCTTATTTTGCCCTTAGATGTTCACTAGATGATGGTCTCCTAATAAGTAAAGTAAAAAAACACATTTATCAAAGTGCAGTGGAGTTAGATCGTGGATTCCGTACAACCTAAGTCCAGCGTGGCCGTCATTTTAAATTATATGCAGTTTCGGTTCGAGTCCTGATTCCGGTCATTATTTAATTTTGACTGAACGGTTCTGATGGGTTTACGAGTATAAGGGTGACCTGAAAAGTTTTCAACCCTACAAAGATACAAAACAATTTTTCAGAATTATATTTTATTTTTCGATATAGTCTCTTTACTCTACAAACTTCTCCCAGCAATGCTCCCATCTTTGTAACCCAAATAGTACTCTGCAAAATAATTGTCAACTTAGGTGATTGCCTAGTCATTTGACAAAAATTTCTGTTCTTCGAGCGCAATTTTTAGATGAGTGAACAGAAAGAAGTCGCTTGGGGCTAGATCTAGTGAGAAAGGCGGATGACCAAGCAGTTCCAACCGTAATTCGTGGATTTTCGCCAAAGAAACCTCTGAGGTGTGAGACGATGCGTTATCTTGGTGAAACAGGATTTCCTTTTTCAGCGAATGTGGCCATTTTTCCACAAATTCTGCCTTCGGCTTGTCAAGTAATGATGCGAAGTATGCTCCTGTAATGGTGGTCATTACTTTTCCAGCCGAAAAAACAGTTTTTGCTTTTTTTGGAACCAGTTCTCCCTTTGCAGTCCAAGTTTCATCTATAGTAATTATTCAGCGTCAAAACTCGGATTCATTGCGCCTAAACTACGCCAACAGAGCATTGAAAATGTTCATTTGGTCAAACGTGAGCAAACGCGGCATCCAACTTTCTCGTCTGAATGTTGATTTAGTATGTGACAAACACGTTCTTTTGACATGTTCATAACCTCTGCTATCTCTCTCACTTTAATTCGGCGGTCGTCTAGCACATTTTGGTGAGCTTTGGCGATGTTATCGTCGGTAGTTGCTTTTAGACGTCCCGAACATGCATCGTCGCCCAAGATCATACGGCCACGTTTGAATTCAGCTGTGGTAAATGATGGTATAGAGCCCTCATACACATGATCCAACTCATCTTTGATTTCCGTAGGCGCATTGCCTTTCAAAAACAAATATTTAATGACAGCTCATAAAAACACTCACATCAACTCACTCAAATGACTGTTACATAACAATTGCGCGACCAAAATGGCTGAAACTTTGGTGAGTAACCGTCAACAGGTGAACAACGAATTCACTATCTTTTATTTACGAGTGTTGCTATTTTCATGTCGAGGTCGGAAAATTTTCAGACCGCCGTCGTTTATTCAATTTGATAAGCAGAATCTGTGTGGTGCAGAAGTATTTTTCAAGGTTTTCTCTGATAGACATTGAAGAAAATATTATTTTCAATGGTCATCATTTTAACTTGTGTTTCGGACCAAGTCATGATTCTGGCCAGTACTATTCTTGGAACTCTCCGTATATTCTTATTCATAGCAGACAGAAAAACCTAATCAGCAACGATTCCTTTATCGGGGTGGTACTGTAGGTTTTTTCCCAAAGTTCTCCTTGCAGCTGAAAAGCGGATGCGTCAAGAAAGAACAAGAAATAACTTCTTCATCATTTTGATAACAATTTGTGCGTTATTTAAATATATTTTAATTGAATTGATCAATTGTAACCTATGAATATGGTCAATTAAAAATCCTTCTACTGAGGTATCCCATGGAATGAAAATTTCAGCTCAACCGCTCATACTTCAAAATATTGAATGAAATATTATAAGGTGAACACCTGTTGATACTATGAAAATAAATCTTTTTTTCCAAAGTGTGGTATATTCTAGTATGCATTAAATGCAATGAAACATTTTCACTAGACAGTTTGACATCTTGCTCAATGTAATTATCAATACATATCATTTTCAAACACATTCCATCCATTAATTACCATGATCAATCCGTGCGGATCAATTGTTTCACTATGGCATATTGGTTGATCAACAATTGAAAAAAATGATTATATTTTCCTGATAATTCAACGATTGTCATAAGATGTATCAACCTATTATAGTTATATCAAAATGGGTTCATTTAACAATTTTTTTAATTTTATTATTTGAAAGTTTATGTTTCAAATAGTACATCTGCAAAAAATCTGAAATTTCACTCTTTATCTTCCCTCTCAAATTAATAGTTGAATGTGGTCAAGCTTAACGTCACATCAGTCGACTCGGAGACAAGGGAGTGCTGGCGGCGATGGCAGCGATTCATAATCTCCAACTACAGGCTCGGTTGCCACCGCTCGAAGCTCGTTGTAGCGGGGGAGCCCACGATGCAAAATGGGGATTTACTCGAGCGTCATCGAGACATATTAGGTTGCAAAGCTTAGATGATAAGGAGAAACAAATGTTATATAATATATACCTTTTCATCGGTGGGGGAAGCGGTTATAGATTTTTAAATATGTAAAAAAATACTGTTGTATGGACATACTTGGGTGCGTCAGATATTGATAGCATCAATGTCCTACGTATTTTTAATAATGTTGGTATGTTAATCTGATCGTTTGCATGATGTGGGTGGTTGTACGTAAGGGTTAAAAGTGAAAAGAAAAAAAAATTAATCGAGCGCGTCAGATTTTCTAAGGGAGTGTCAAGTGCAACAAAAAAACTCTCATTCAATAATCTGACGATTTCGATCTGACGCAAACTCGCGGCCATTATTATAATGTGCAAAAAAAATTCGTCATCTTGAAATACTCAAGCGCGTCAGATTAAGATATATATGGTTCATCTTTATGTTTTAGACGTGCTGTCTCATAATCTGACGANAAATGTATTTTTTTCTGGAACTATTCAGTGTTTCTACGAAGCAAAAACTAAAATAAAATTGAAAAGCGTATAAAAAATATATCTATTAATAGTACCAACAACTACAAAAGCCATCGCAAAAAAGTCCTTACTCAAAGTTTTAGAATAAAGAAAATAGCAAAAAAGGCATACAGACGGAAGTAGCTATCGAGGTAGGGTGAACTAATATTCTAAAATAGGTTTATTTTCCGTAATTGCCTAGATCATACAATGAAAAGGCACCAAGCAATCAGACAGCTAGAACAACCACTCGTCGTAGACAACGCACGAGATCTGTTCAAAAAATAAGGTAATTTTCCTCAAAAAATATTCATTTATTCATCAATTTCTGTTTTGGGCCCCTCAAAGTACATTCAGTTTTTATCTCCTCAATGGTCGCACAACGCCGTCCTTTCATGAGTATCTTCAATTTTGGGAACAGGAAAAAGTCGCAAGGGGCCAAATCTGGTAAATACGATGGCTGAGGCATGATTACGGTGTTGTTTTTGACCAAAAAATTACGAACAAATAATGACAAGTGAGCAGGTGCATTATATCGTGATGCAAAAGCCATGAATTATTTTTCCACAATACCTGACGTTGTCTTCGTATTACTTCTCGCAAGCAGCGGTACGCCATGGTAGTCGAACAGTGAGCAAAACCTTGACATTTGATCGAACTTAGCGTGCTTTTTTGGTCTTGGGTTTTCTGAGCTCTTCCATTTGGACGATTGGGCTTGAGTTTCGATGTCATAACCATATAGCCATGATTAGTTACCAGTTATGACCCTTTTAAGCAAATCTGAATCGCCGTTGAAGTAATTCAACAAAGCCTGTGCGATGCTCATGCGAAGCTTTTATTGGTCAAAATTTTCTTATCATTTTCGTCGGTTGTTATGTACTGGGGCGTCCAGGGTGAGCATCGTCATTCACATCTTCTCGACCCACCTTGAAAAGCTTGTACCACTTGTAAACATTTTAAGTATTTTTAAGCACCTAATTCCATTTCTTGCAAACGCTAAACACTTCCAAATTTTATTCCTATCACCAACAAACTAAACATGCTAAATAGCTGAAACTGTGAACATATGTTCGAGACGAGTGTAACAACATAAACAATCGCTAATTGAATAAATGTAACACCTTATTTTTTGAACAGACCTCGTCTAATGTTGCACATATATAAGTTTCAAATGATAAAATTGGAAAAAGAAAGGTTCCATTGAGATATCTTGACTGAGTTAGATTTTTTCAACGAAAGAAATCAGTCAGATTTTATAATAAACTATGAAGAAAGTCCCTCGCAGAAATATTCTTAGAAGTATTTATAAAAGCAGTAAATCTACTTGGTGGATAACTCAAGTAAACCTTGATTATAGCTCGACTCAGCATCTGATATTTTTTACTCTTAATGATTTCGTCTTCAATAGAAACTATAATTGTGGAAGATGTTACAAATATATACAAATTACTACTGTTCACACAAAAAAATTACATCAAAGACAACCTTTCTTTTTGTAATCAGTTGTTGATTAGACAACAGACCAAAGATCCTCGGTACTATCCAGCAAAGCAGATCATTCAGGTCTTCTGGGAACCTTTACAGGATATAATAATGGCTACAGTGAAAACACCACATGCAGGTATCAAGTGAAATATCTCCCTGGTCATTCAACAACTAAGAATGAAGTACTCAACTAACTTACCTGCTGTTAAAAAATCAAGATTTAATTCAGAGATAAGGCACTTTAATAATATCAAATGCAACCTATCAAGCTATAACCTCGTGGAGAAACCTGAAAACAATAAAAGACTATCTACTCAAACTAAAGAATTATTTTTGAATTAAAAACTATCCTATAGCGTTACACTACGTATATAAAAATAATTTCACATTATTTCACAAAGGGCAGTGAAAAAAATATAATACGATTACTTTATACATCAATTACATTTTACTCACTTTTCATGTTACAAGGTTTACTTTGCTAGAAAAATCACAATTTATATTCGAAAATTTCATTCAATTTCAACATCATTCATGTTGGGAAAGTTTTGACTTTTGACGTGAATTGGAACGATAATGCTTATACTTCGCCAAGATGTGAAAACCGCATGCAAAGTAAATAGCTGATGAAAAAATGGCTAATGCGGAACCAGAATTAGGATAATAACAAAACCGCCAAAGTTCTTAGGAAGAGTTATTCTACCCACCATCATAAGAACCAGAAAGGTTTTCTTAGGAAAGGCCTGAACTTTAATTAAATTCAAGTGGAAGATCAGTAGATTTATCTTATGTTAAAAATGGCCAAGAAGGAAATTAGGGGTAACACCATCTGGATCTCAATGACTCATATAAGTTCTTTGAAGCTAAATGTGTCGATAAAAGTACCTTCTTGAGCAAGGCCATTCCACATATCGAAAATTCTGTTCCATAAAGAAAGTGTGCATTTCATTACAAATATTCATTTTTCAAGTTCAGTAAAGGTGGCTTTATTCATTGACATAATCTCCATCGAAAGCCACACAATCATTCCAGCGCCAGTATAATATTTCAATACCACTTTTGTAGAACGACTTATGTTTTGGCTCAAAAAAGACCTCAGTTTCAGCAATGACCTCTTCATTTGAGCGAAATTTCTTACCCGTGAGCATTTTTTTGAGGTCTGCGAACAGCCAGTAGTCGCTGGAAGCCAAATCTGGCGAATACGGTGGATATAGGAGTAATTCGAAGTTCAATTCGTGTAGTTTTGCCATTGTTTTAATCTACTGGTGGTGTGGGGCGTTGTCTTGATGAAACAAAATTTTTTCTTCATCATATGCGGTTGTTTTATTGCAATTTCGGCCTTCAAACGCTATATAATATTCACTGTTGGCCGATGACCTTTCCAACCGATTGTTGTGCTTTCGGGTGCTTTGGATGAGGTTCACCAGTTGCTCTCCACTCAGATGACGATCGTTTTAATTCCGAGTGAAGTGATAGATCCATGTTTCATCACATACCGATGCCAAAATTATGGTTTGTTATGGTCAAACTCTGCTCAGAATCATCAAGGCGTTCTTATTTTTGGTCAACAGTGAGCACGCGCGGCACTCACTTTGAACAGAGCTTTCTCATAGTCAAATGCTCATACAATACAGTGGATTTCCACTGCGTTCTGCATCATCGGTGTCTCTAAGACCACGTTTGAAGTCAACAAACAAACGTTTCATTGTTGTTTCTGATGGAGCGGAGTCCTTATACCGTTTTGTAAGCCATTGCTTCTC